GAGAGAGAGAGAGAGATGTTTTTAGCTGTAGTGAACTTGTTTCATGTCAAAAATCATGGACATGATCACCTGCATTGAACCCGTTTCATTTCAGAATGCATAATTAAAGAAATGACAGGAACGTCCAGAAACACTATTTTATCACATTACAACGAGAAACATTTTGACATGTGTTGCATGTATCTAATTTCCTCTTTAGCTTTTCAATGGAAGAAAAAGGGCTCGGCAAGGCGCGTGTTTGCTTCTTCTCGGAAAGGAAATGTGCCCTGATGTACAATGCTAGGGGAGACATGTGGGTAAGGAGGTCATGTACCAATCTGCAGAAAAAAGGAGGTCATCTCCCGGACATGAGGTTCATTAAACCCAGGTTTTTCATATCCCAAAACTCATGGAAGAGAGTGTCATGAGCGCTACGACCACAGACCTCATCGTCGGCCTCAGCTTGGGGTCCTCTTCTGTGCATACTTTCGCCAGCTGTGTCATCTGCGTTCAGAAGGCATCATATGTTACTATGCAATCGAACAGTGCAAGCTAGGGCTTTGGCATGTTTTCTTAACCATGAGAATGGCGTCGATGGGATAGTCATCTCCCAGCTTCGGATCGATGAGCTTCTTGAGACCTTCTTCCGGATCCGGTGCAGTGAGAGTCTCCTCAAACTACAGATTTCAGAATGGTAAAAAGTGATCAAACAGCCAAAGAAGGAACTTCAGCAAAATAACCCAAAAGCGGCCATCCTAGCGGTTTTATGAAGCACTGAGAGCAGAAAGTATCTACTCCCTCCGTCCTTTAAAGAGTGTACTTTCAACTTTGTTGGAGGGTCAAACTATTTCAAAGTTTGACCGAGTTTGTGCAAAAATATACAATGTTTGTGAAATCAAATAGGTATATGATGAAAGTATATTTTATCACGAACCTAATGCTACTAATTTGATGGCATAAATGTTGATGTATTATTATATAAACACGGTCAAATATAAAAAAGTTTGACTTTTTCAAGAAAGTTGGAAGAACACTCTTTAAAGGACGGAGGGAGTAGTTACTAGCTCAGAAGCACAATTACCAGATAAACCAACACCTTTGAACCACTAGCAGATCCATCAGTTGATTGGACAATGGCATCTTTGGCTGAGATAAGTTCGTACAAGACAACGCCAAAGGCATACACATCAACCTTACGAGAAACTTCACCATATTGAAAGTATCTGCCAACACCATTTCCCATCATTGTCAGCATTCATAAAAAATTAGCAAGGACACTGCATTTAGCGGAATGACAAAAGTAGATGTTTACTCATAAAAAAAGAGGTAGAAGTTCAGGAAACCTACTCTGGAGGCATGTAACCGAATGTACCAACAACACGTGTTTGCAAAGATGCACCACCAACTTCTGTAAGCTTTGCCAGACCAAGATCTGCAACCTGGAAGATACATAAACAACATTACTTCATGAATGTACATATAGAACACATGGAATAATGGATATTACATATAAAACACACGGATGAATTCTCCTTGAACCATTCCTACCTTTGCACGTGTGTTCTTGTCTATCAAGATGTTTGCGGATTTGATGTCCCGATGTATGTAGACTGGAACGGTATGCTCATGAATGTACTCAAGACCTCTTGCTGAATCTAGCGCAATCCGAACTCTTTCAGCCCAAGAAAGAGGCTCGTAACCTATACAAATGTGCCAAGAGATTAATTTGCCAGAAGCAACAGAGCAGAAAAAAGGCACATTCGGTATTTCGAGAGGCAGAGTATACCAGTTCCACGCAAATGTTGGCTTAAGTTGCCATTCTCGACAAATTCATAAACAAGGAACAAAGAACTCTCCGTGCAATAACCAATAAAGCGCACCTGCATGACATCGAACATTGAAATGGCGAATTTAACTCGCGAAAGATTTATGAGATCATCCCCATGGAAAATCCATATTATCGTCCCATTAAAAAGCAGTGTCATTTAAGTGAACAAATAGAAGATCTACGAACCAGATTTAGATGGTGAACATGTGTCAAAGCCTTTAACTCTGCAAGAAACTCTTGAGTAGCCTTCATGTCCATTTTCTTTATGGCGGCTTTCTGGACAGTGGACAACACAAGAGAAACAAAGCAAGTCATTCGATGAAGAACATATCATGATGTTGCATGATTGCAATCATGGACCTTCACAGAGTTATGTTATTCCACCATTGTTCAAGCCCCTAGTTAAGTACACATGTTTTTGGCATGTGGGTTTCTGAAATGCAACTGAATTATTAGTTTTTGTACTAACCTCGCCTACAAGCTCAGCATAATAGACAGCACCAAAACCACCTTGTCCAATTTTACGAGTTATGTTGAAGCCTTCTGTAGCATTAAAAAGTTCTTGGTATGTGAACTCGACTGGTTTGTCAACTGTAATACCAGCAGCTAATGATGCTATGCCAGCTTGAGTTGACGATGCTGTCACCTTTTGCATTAATATTGTACTGGCTGGAACAAAAAGAATAATAGTTCAGAAATAAGAAGGCACATTCTGTTGTAATTAATATCAGTCAAGGCTTGTTCAAGGAAGCACAAAAGAAGGGAAAATTGGAAGCATAATTCAAGGTTATCTAACTTCCTCTATCTTTCCAAAAGTACACTTATTGGTAAGTCCCCCAAACTATTACTCATAATCATAACTCATATCATACTCTATTTACTCCACAATATTTCTAGGCACAGAAAGATCAGTATAGTTGCTCATAGGATAAGCAAGCATGGCTTCAAACCACCCTAATCCACGCATATCCTTCTAGCAGAAAATCGTTGAGAAGAACGAAGTTAAGATATTAACTTGAAGTGGTGAAATTAGGACATGCATATGCTAGTCTAAATTACAGGACTAACTCTCAGTTGCAAGGTTAGAGATCCATACAAAAATTATTGTTACCTAGCCGGGTAGATTCTTTAGAAGATGGAAGAAGTGCATTCTGTTGCGCCTTTCTTTGCCTATAAAACAAGAATAACAAGATACCCAAGACTGGTGCAACTACACCAGCCACAACACTTCCTGCTATTGCTCCTGCTGAAACTTTTTTTCCTGTTCCTAAGAGTTGAATATGAATAAGCATCATAGTTCTCACGGTAGCCGGCAATAATATCCAGTGGTTCTTCCCAAAAAAAGCTTAACGGCGAGCAATAATTAGCTCGTGAGAGGACGCAGTCTGGCTATACTGCACAAGATGAAGGATCGATACTTATCAGCTCAACTGCATGAGAATAAACATAACATGCATGACCAAGAAAATTAAGTGGATAAGAGGATAAGCTCAAATAACAACTCTTACCCTGCCGGTGATTTAATAGGAAGGTAACTTCCATCGGGATCTGGGAAACCAAATAAGCAGAGTAACAACTTTTAGGAAGATGTGATCAATTCTCCGCGACATATAAATTAATGATGCATCAAGTCAACTTAAGCCTTGAAATTCCACGAGACCACTGTATAGGCATCTTTATCCAAGTTAATATAATATGGATGCAGAAATGGCATGACGCAACCCACGGAATCAATACTACGTGGCAAAGTGGATGGAAGCCTCACATACCTTGGGCAGGGATGTACACGAGGCCGCTCCCGGTGACACCGTCCATGCCGGGATTATACCTCCTGAGTTGGTCCAACTGCTCCGGCGACGAGAAGTCGCGAGTTGCGGCGACGGAGGCGAGCGTCTCCCAGTCTCTGAGCGGGAATGTGCGGAAGAGCCCGTAATCTGTGGAGATCCCGGCGTCGCCGCAGGAGCAGTTGACGGTGACGTTGACGACGACGACGTCGGGGCTGTTTGTTGGTCGGGTAGGTATTGGTGGCCTGCAGCCAGCCGGCGGTGGTGAGGTTGTTGTACTTGCGGGCGATGCTGATGTAGGTATCTTCGGGGGCGACTACGTAGGGGATGGAGGCGGCGAGGTAGGTGGAGGCCGGGTCGGAGGGCAGCGCTAGGCACTCGCAGGGGAAGGGGATGTCGAGGCGATCCCCAGCGGTGACGTAGTCGAGCCTGGGGAGCCCGCGGTTATACTTGGCAAGCGCTCGGTAGTCGGAGAAGCCGAAGAGCGAAGCGATGAAGGTGATGTTCATGTCCTTCGCGACGTAGTAGGAGCCCAGCGCGAGGTCGCAGCCCACGCTGCAGCCGTCCCTGGCCGCGGCGGCCGTGTTCGGGGCTAGGAGGAAGAGCAGAACCAGGAATGTTAGGAGAAGAGGCGGCGGAGCTTCCATGGCGCGGGTAGGAGATGAGGAGGAGCAGCAGGCTGATGCGTTGGGAGGCTAGGTGGGCGAGGAAGGTTTACAGCCAGTTGGACGTGGTGGAAGGAGATTTTTAGTGAACGCATGTCGTTGTTGGAAGGTCAGATATGCTGTTTTTTTCTTTTCTTTTCAACAAAGGCGGTTCGTCCCTAGTTGGTGATGGACTGATGGTGACACTCCTACCTTCTGGGAAGATTCATGCATCCCTCTCAGTCAGCAATATCCTTCCAACACGGCACAAGTGCTGGCAGGGACACCATTGATCATTGACTTTTGATGGACTTTCGGGTGGCCTGCTTTGTTGAAAATAAGCCATGCCTATGCAGTTGTCACGGCGTCGGCACGCGAGGTCTGGTCCGTGCAGGGCGTGGGCGTGCGTACGTACAGCGTGCGGAGGCGCCGCGAGACCACCTTCACAGGTGCTGCGTGCGTGGGCAGCCGAGGGCCTGGTTATTAGCTAGTGGATGCATGTAGCTAGTAAGTTGGTTAGTGGATTGGTCATCTAGTAGTGCATGCGTGGGTTAGTTAGGACCAACTCATGGCCTCGTGGTCCCATTCGGATGGACCAACGAGGTTTCAACTAAACCAACTTATTGCATGACACTCTTCCGGTCACTCCGACAAACATCCCTTTGGGCTATGTCATAGATGGCCCCGATGTCAACTCGTCATATCGGCCGCGTTTGTGGCCGCCACCGTCATGGCCAAACTAAACTATCCCAAACAGGGACCTTGGGTGCTGTACAACTCGGGCACACAAGGTTATTGCCGCCTACTTGATGAGAATAGCGAGCACACATAACCTTCCCTAGTTGGAGGCACCGGCGAGAGGCATGACAATACAGGGAATTAGGGCCTCCCCATCGACGCATGTGTGGTTGCACTCGTGAGCTCGATTCGGTGGCACTATGACTTAGCCAGCTGATTTTTCAAGCTCAATTAATGTCAGGCTTAACTTGAATGGATGAGCTGAGTCATAGCAAAATAACATGATGAAATAACAATACATATCATCATCATATTAGCATAAGCATGGATGGGCAACATAACCATTTAGCATATGAATCTTGACATCAACAAAAATAAATCATTTAATTTACTGGATGCAAATGAGCATGGCATAGTGATGATCATGAATCTCACATGTTTTTTCATAACCAAACAATAACTCTCCATATGAGCATATTATTATATCACTGGTATAGGAAATAATTACGAGAATTAAACATGATAATAATAGCATTACCAAAATAATCGTTTAAATAACTACATGCAAATAAACATGGCATAAGAATGAGCATGGATTCACATGCATATACATAGCACTAACAAGTGATAAACCATGGCTATCGCAATGCCATCATGCAACTGGTTGTTGTGGCTGTTGTGGCTTGCTTGGGCTTGATGGATTCACTAGGGAGAAGTCCGAGAAGCTCGCGGAAAATTTTGCCAGAAAAGTTTCTCTCTCGAAGGGGACTGAATAAGTGCAAGGGCAAAATGGTCAATTTTAGAATGTGACAATGATGACCCCACAAGTATAGGGGGTCAATCGTAGTCCTTTCAATAAGTAAGAGTGTCGAACCCAACGAGGAGCAGAAGGAAATGACAAGCAGTTTTCAGCAAGGTAATGTCTACAAACACTGAAATTATCGGTAACTTGTACTTTGATAACAAGATAATTTGTAACGGGCAACAAGTACCAACAGTAACAAAGGTGCAACAAGGTAGCCCAATCCTTTTTGTAGCAAAGGACAAGCCGGAACGTTCTCTTATAGCAAGTAAAGCGTTTTTGCAGACACGCGGGAATTTCATCTAGTCACTTTCATCATGTTTGTTTGATTCACGTTCGCTACTTTGATAATTCATATGTGGGTTGACTGGTGCTTGTGTGTTGTTCTTACTTGAACAAGCCCCCCACTTATGATTACGCCCCCTCGCAAGCATCCATAACTACGAAAGAAGAATTAAGATAAATCTAAACATAGCATGAAACCTATGGATCCAAATCAGCCCCTTACGAATAAGCGCATAAATAGGTGATACATGTCCAACGTATCTACTTTTCCAAATGTTTTCCTCTTGTTTTGAACTCCAATTTGCATGATTTGAATGAAACTAACCCCGGACTGACGTTGTTTTCAGCAGAACTATCATGGTGTTGTTTTTGTGCAGAAATAAAAGTTCTTGAAATGGAACGAAACTTTGCAAGGATTTTTTATATCAATAAATAGAATTTCTGGAGCCAAGAGCCACCTCCGGAGCCCGATTAGACTTGTTACTTGGGTTGCTGTGTGGGAGTGTGTTGTTTTGTGTTCAGGACTTGTTGAGTTGTGCCCTCAGCATTAACCCTCCGTACTTCTTTGTGCTTTGTGAGACTTGGTGTGTGTGTGTGTGTGTGTGTGTGTGTGTGTGTGTGTGTGCGTGTGTGTGTGTGTGTGAACCTTGTTGGATGTTTGGCTTGAGCGGTTTGTTTCATATATAAAGCGGGGTGAAAGCCTTTTTGGGTAAAGGCAGTGCATATGTATTGAGATGCTTAATATAAAGTAGATCTCAAGTTATGCCATCATACTTAACATAACCACCCGTGGAATCCATTAAAAAGCTTTTTTGATTGATTGAAGAATATCTCGCCCTAAAATGCATGCACTTGTTTCACGTAGGAGTAAGAGCAAGAGCAAGAGTTGTCATTTTGTTGGATCAAGGTAGGCAGGAAGGGCTTGGAGGGGAGCATCCAGAAGGTCTCCTTCTATTATCCGACTCACCGCATGAGAAGAGAAGGAGAAGGTTGTAGGTGGGAACAAGCTTGAAATAGAGAGTTCGTTGCCTGACGAGCCGCCGTTGATGTACTATATATCTTGATGTTTTGTTGTTGTTGTTGTTGTTGTTGTTGTTGTTGCTGCTGCTACTGCTACAAGGGTAAGACAGATGAAAATTTCGGGCCAATCAGTGACGCTTTAGTCTGTTTGGGTGTTGATGTGGCTGGCTGGCTATGAAACATATGTTTGATTGATCAAAGTGCTTCGAATAAGTTTTTTTTTTCTTCTTCTCTTGTTTTTTTTTTGCGAGAAAATTTCTGATCTATTCATCTTCAATCATGGAAGTACAACAAATACCAGAAATAATAAAAATTACATCCAGATCCATAGACCACCTAGCGACGACTACCAGCACTGAAGCGAGCCGAAGGCGCGCCGCCATCAACGCCCCTCCATCGCCGGAGTCGGTCACAACTTGTTGTAGTAGACAGTCGGGAAGTCGTCGTGCTAAGGCCCCGTAGGACCAGCGCACCAGAACAGCAACCGCCGCAGATGAAGAATAACGTAGATCAGAAAGATCCAATCTGAAGACACGCGAACGTAGACGAACAACGACGAGATCCGAACAAATCCACCAAAGATAGATCCGCCGGAGACACACCTCCACACGCCCACCAACGGTGCTAGACGCATCGCCGGAACACGGACTAGGCGGGGAGACCTTTATTCCATCTTCAGGAGCCGCCGCCGTCTCGTCTTCCTGATCAGGACACAAACCCTAGCAAAACTGAAAGAAACGACTAAAAACGGAGCCCTCCAGCCGGTCCTTGCCGAGATCCACCGCGCCCCCATGGCCCTAGGGCCACCGGAGAGGAGGCGGACCTGCGGCGGCGGCGGCGGGAGGCAGAAACCCTAACTTTTTTGTGGAGGAAGGAGGATGCGGCGGCTAGCCTCTCTTGTTTGCTCATGCGGATGCGTTGCAAACCTTCACCAATGTTATGTTACTAGCTTGCTTGTAAAATACTCGAGTTGTCTTGTAGGCGAGGGCACATAGCTAGAGACAAGGATGAAAAGTCCCTTG